GATGAAGATGAAACCTTTTATTATTTATTTTTAATTCAAGACTAGTGGTTAGTTAAATTCTTATTTTTCTTGATTAATCTTGCATGCTCAATTGCATTATTTAATTGTTTGATCACCAATTAAATATATAGTTGCTTGTTGTAGTGCTGAGAGGCTACAATAAGTCTAGAACAATGCTTGATTAATATATGTGCAATAGATATTAGGAATGATATTTATCATGTGTGCAATTTTTTAGATAATCTAAATTTTAATGCGTTCTATTTATTCGAATTCGGATTAGGAATAGATTCGGGTTGTGATTAAAATAGATTTAATTTAGTAATATCATTGATTGATATAAATAATGAATTTCTATATTCAACCCTTGTTTGAGTCACATTAAAATTTTTATTCTCATTTTTCTACTCATTTTCAACCACATATTCTTCAATAAAATAATATTATTCATCAAATTAATAACTTTTCCTTCTTTTTCAACCACACATTCTCCATCAATTTACTATTTCAAAATATATTTTTCCAAAATAATGTGGCTCAAACACAAAGAAAAATTAAGCGCAACTTATACTATTAACATTAGAATCATCAAAAATGGCATAATGGTTATTGTTAAGCATTGAGTTCCATATTAAAATGTCAAACTTATTAAGAGGAGTAACCCAATCCTTTATAAGTTTGTTTATGTTTACATCTTTATTCGATGTGGGATTCTATACCTTAACATACTCTTACAAGATGGTGACTCGTTTGAACTGACAAATCTTGAATCCGTATGCTCACTTTTAGACTCTTAACCAAATCGAATTGCTCATTAGCATTTAATGGACTCTGATACCATGTTAAGAATTTGGGTTACATTTTAAAAGGTCAACCTTATCAAGAGTCAATCATTTATAAGTTGGTTTATGTTTACATCTTTATTCGACGTGAGATTTTATCCCTTAACATATATTATAAACAGTATCAAAGATTTTGAGTGCAAAATTGACAGAAAAGGTTATCAAGAAGCCAGTGTTGCTAATTTTCATATGCATGTGGTGTATTAAGGTTTCTATGCAGGCAATGGCCAATGGGACAGAGAAAGGGAAGCTGAGGATCTTGAGGGTTTGTCAATACGACGGCGATGTTGGAAGTGTCCCAAGTCGTTGTGGCGTAAGTTGAGGTGGCAGGAGGAGACACGACGAAGCTTTAGACTTTACGTGAACATTCACGCCACGGGTTTAAAAAGTGTTTAACAATTAACAGTGCCACAAAAAACATATTTTCTATAACTTTTATGTTCGAATGTTTATAATTTAAATTAAATATTTGTTAATACTCATAATTGATTATTATAAAATAATAATTTTAATTATTTATTAAGCTCCTGTTTGGTTGGTGTATATAAAAATCGAATTTGTAGTAAATTTGATATCAATCGATTAAATTTATGGTGAAAAGTTGTGAATTTCATAAAATATGTTATTAAAATTAATTATTTATTTTGACTTAAAATTTTCATTTGATTTTAGTTCAAATTAAATGGAGGCTAAATATTTTTCCTAGTTACTTGTACCTTGCATGATGGATGATGTATAACCTTTAAATTCAAAGCAAGATCACCATGAAAAGATTCCGTTTGAAATAGGTTATTAAATATTTTGATTGACAAATACAAATATTGTATCAATTAAGTAAAAAATATATTTAAAGTAAGTAATAACGTTTCTTTACTTTGAGAACAGAAAAAGTTCCTAAATTCACGATGTGTAATGTTTTTATCCGTTACACACAGTCATGTTTAAGTATCTTAAATGATTCGACATTTAAGAATTTGAATTACTTAGTACGCGTATCAAGGTGCCTACGATATGATTATTATACATTCGTTCAGACTATAAAACTACATACGAGTAACGGGTAAGTGAAAAAAAAAAAAAAAAGTGATCTTCGAGTTGAAGTTACACAAGAAATTCTCAATCTTTAGTGAAGAATTTTCTAACGTACGTACACTGTTACCTTGACATCCATTGGAATGCGAACAAAAACTTACCCGAAAATATCAAAATTTTATTTAATTTAAAGTTGTTGCTAGATATAATGTGTATGTAATAATAAAAAAGAACACATAAATAAAGATTAAGAACTTACCTAAATTTGTTAATGAAATTTTGATACGATCTGAATCACAAATTTTCAACTTCATTTTCAAGAACTTGGAGCTCAAATTTACAAATCGTATATGATATCTCCAAACTCAATATTACACCAACATGTAGACACCTTATTTTAGTTAAATCAAGAAACTAATCTCGAATTAAACAAATGAAGAAAAATAAGAAAACGATTTTTTTTCTCTAAATTCAAACAATATATTAGAATTGATGTTATTGGTTCTATTCAATCTCTATTTATACAGACAAAAGAGTTCTAATTCATATCCAATAAGAATTTCAAGTAATGTCCAAATAGGAATCCAATCCTTGTGCAATAAAAATTTCAAATAAAGTCCAAATAGGAGTCCTATTAAAATTCAAATAGAAGTTCCCATTGAAGTCCAAACCCAATTATTACCGAACTTATTTAATTAAAAGTGCAATCCTAGAACTTTAACTACAAATACAATTAAGTCTACAACTTTTACAATAATTATAATTGAGTTCAAAACTTTATAGTAACTGAAATTATGCTCAAAACTATAATTGTGATACAATTAAGTCCCAATATTTTATTGAACTAACACAAGGACCTGATCAGACACATATTAACTTAACTTTAATAATTAGATTATATTTAATCAACCCTAAATCATATAATCTAATTACTATTTTTCGCATTTTTCACTTAATATAAAAGACTGCAATATCGGAATATATAAAATCACAGAAGTTAATATACGTTTGTAATATTTATTTTTGACCTGCTCTATATATATTTTATCCCGTCCAAAATTGATAATTAGGTACGGAGACAAAGGACCTTTTTGTCCCTCTAGTTATTCTCACTAAATTACTTACCCTTTTTTAACGACCATGTAAATTAATTACAAATATCGAATGTGGCTGACGCTATACACTAAGTACAGATTTATAACCGTTCAACAAGATTAAAGCAATCATTCTACTTGTTTTCATTTCTGCTTTCTTTGAGAATTTGATACTGTGTTGCTGTCGACATGTGGTACAGAAGCATAAATTCTCTTATGCTTAACTATCTGTCCGGAAATTGGATTCCATCAGCATTGCCTTAACTTGAGGGACCGGTACATGAGGCTAAATATTTGGGGTTTGGGTATATGTTCTAAAAATTCTTAGCTTTATGTCTCTTTCTACCCCTGACCTCAAAAAATCCCATCTATTTGATTTTGGATGAACTGGAAAGACCCTGTTTGACAACCATAGCCCATGTTTGAGCCACATTATTTTTTTTTATTCTCATTCTTTTATTCATTTTCAACCACATATTCTTCAATAAGATAATATTTTCCATCACATCAATAACGTTTCCTTCATTTTTAACCACACATTTACACAATAAAATATTATACGCGTAAACCCAAAATTTTTTCCTACTTTTTAATCACACATTCTCCTAAGAATCATTATTCAACACTTTGTTTCTTCCAGATAATGATTGTCAAATAAGGGACAAAAGGGAGAAAAAGAGAGCACGGAACCATCAGGATGATAGAGGCATTCAGTCGATGCAGGTCGTAACAAAGTTATTAACCAAGGAAAAGATGAACTTGTACGATAATCATTAAGGGGTTGCCGATAAAATAAATAAATAAATAAATTACTCGATATAATATGATATGATTTTTGAAAACAAATAATTGGGCACCAATGAGCAAAAATAGTGGAGTGGAATAAACTGAGACTGGTGAGGTAGTAAAGTATGTTGCAGAATCTATACAATTATATTGCACATGGCAGCATAATATCTCGTCAAGGGTGACAAATTGCTTGTCAAATATAAGAATGTAATCCTAAAACAGGTGAAGATAACATTGGAAGTTGCAAAAAAGTTGATCAACTTGTCTGATTCTTACAATTTTTCTTGTATTTAATACTGGTTACATATCATCCTCTGACATCAATGTTTATTTTAATTAATTGAGCCTTCCTATGCTAATATACATGACACAAGAACTACTGCAACAATGTTTGGTGGTTGTTTCAAGCAGGAACGTGGATCTAATGCTCTGTCTGTAAGTAAAATTTTCCTGGATATACTTATTCAATTGAAAGATTATAGTGTCAAGACAGCTAATTAATAACATTTTATGCTTGTCTGTGTTTGGTTTTTCTTAGATTGTGGAGCTTCTGGTTCATATGGATTGCGAAGGATGTGAGAAAAGGATACGAAGAGCAATTTCTAAATTGGATGGCAAGATTTAAATTGAATTCCCCCCTGGTTTAGTTACCCTAATTTATTCTTTCAATGTTATCTTCTCTAGCATTAATACTTTATGAAACTTGAAGTAAAATAAAACCTGGTAAAATTACAATGTTTGCAAACAAGCTTACATACATATTTATGAGTTATTACTAACGGGAGTTTCGAGCTACGTCCAACCAGACCACCTGAGGCTGGCCCTGGTGTGCCACTCCTACTTTAACCAACACTTATATATCAACTTACGGACAATCCTATTAGGATGTCGTGTCCGTGTTCGACTATGACACTAGTTGGACAAGACATGTATCCAACAAGTTCATGTATCCAAGCCCCATTTTTTTTGTATATTTTTCAAAATTACTGACACTGGAGAGATACTTAAGAGACATTCTCGATCAAGTGTCCAACAAACTATGTAGCTTTCTATATTAAAAACTATATACACAAAGAAATTATTTATGAATTTGACTGAAGCATTTAAATCATGTATCTCCGATGTGTTTGCGTTTTACATTTTGAAAAATCCTGTATCAGCGTGCTGGTGTAAGCGTTGCTTAGCATATGAGAACATGTTTGAGCCCCATTTTTTGAAAATAATGCATTTTAGAATAATACTTTGATGGAGAATGTGTGGTTAAAAAAATAAAGGAAATTTTGGATTTGCCAGGAGTATTATTTTATTTAAAAATGTGTATTTGAGAATAATAAAGTAATAAATGTACTTTGAATATAATGGGAATCAAACAAGGGCCGAACAATTGATTGTGTTTCTTTCTATTCAACTGAAAAATGGTTGCAGGTGTGGATAGCTTGGAGATAGACATGGACAAGCAGAAGGTGACAGTAAGTGGGTATTTGGACAAAAGGAGGGTTCTTAAACAAGTTAGAAGAAGTGGCAGAAAAGCTGAGTTTTGGCCATTTCCATATGATGATGAATACTATCCCTACGCAGCTCAGTATTTGGATGAATCGAATTTCAGTTCTTCCTATAATTACTACATGCATGGACAAAATGAGAGTATTCATGGATACTTCCCTGCACTTCCTTTTCCCACTACGATCGATGATAAGATTACCTACAGTTTCAGCGAAGAAAATGTTAATGCATGCACCATTATGTGACACATATAAAAGAGAACTCGCGACCATAAATTATACTGGGATTGCATGAATCCCTATTTGAGGAAACTATAATAAGAAATAATAATTTGATCTATGTCGGTTCTACCAAAATCAAGTCACTCTTATATAACTCAAAGATGGTGCTCATGAAAGATAGAATTAAATTTTATTCTACTTATATATGGCAT